AAAAAGCCTTGGACAAAATACAGCACCCATTCATCATAAAAACTCTCAGTCAATTGGAAATAGAGGGGAACTTCACAACTTGATAAAGACTATCTACAGGAAACTGTAGTTAACATTAGTATTCATGATGAAATACACAAAGCTTTCCCAGAAAATCAGGAACAAGGCAAGAATGGGCCCTCTCACCTCTCTCAACATTACACTAAAAGTACTTCATACTACAATAACAGAAGAAAATGAAATAAAAGATTACAAACTTGGAAAAATAAATCAATAAAATTGTCTTTGACTGCATCTGATAGGAGTATCTGTGTAAAAAATTCTAGTAAATAAATGAAAAATCTCCAGCAATTAATAAGCTATTGCAGCAAGATTGCAGGACACAAGGTTAGTAAACAAAATTTTATCACGTTTCAACATACCAGCAATGACCCAGTAGAATCTTGAATAAAAAACACAATACTATGTGTCAGAACCTCAAAAAGTGAAATAGTTGCAAATCATCTACATCATAAGAAATTAACATGAAGAATACATAATAAAAAAGTCTTCCACAGCTATATGACAACAAAAAAAATAACATGTTTAAAAAACAAGCAAAGGAAGGGGCTAGTAGCAATATGGCAGACGTATATCTACCCCTTTTAATAACTAGATTAAGTACAATTAGTCTAAATATTCTGCTTACAGCAAAAACTACTGATAGGAAAGTAAGACCCAACAATATGCTATCAAGAGACATACACTTTAAATAAAAAGACACAAAGAGACTGAAAGTTAAAAAATTAAATTAAAAAATACTACACAAACACTAATTATGAAAAGCTTTAGTGGAAATATTAATACTAGATAAAAGAAGCTTCAGCACAAAATATACTACCAGAAATAAATGGAGAACTGAAGGATATCGGACACACTATTGTCTCCAATAGCATGGAAAATGAAAAAGGTATCTCACCCTCTCAGGGGTCTGCCAAAGGAGACTTCTGTGAACAATGGGAAAAGTGCTACCTGGTCTCTTCTCTCTGTCACTAAGAAAATATGAGAAGAGAGACAAATTAAAGAGGCTGGCTGGCCAGATCACTAAGATGGTTAGAAACAGATTTGATTACACCATGGTCAAGGGTTTGGATCCCCACATAGAGCATCCATCAATAAATAAATAAGTAACAATAAAACAAAGATGTTCAATTTTCAAACAAAATTTAAAGGGAATGTATAGGAGCAAAAACTTGCTGATTTTGAAGTAAAACTACATTTTTTTTTTTTTTAAAGATGACCAGTAAGGGGATCTTAACCCTTGACTTGGTGTTGTCAGCACCACGCTCAGCCAGTGAGCAAACCGGCCATCCCTATATGGGATCCGAACCCGTGGCCTTGGTGTTATGAGCACCGCACTCTCCCGAGTGAGCCACAGGCTGGCCTGTAAAACTACTTTTTGATCCAAGTTTTTTCCAATAAAATATTTTCAAAGACACAAACTACTTCGTGGAAAGAATCACAGTGTTTTGTAAAAAAGTATATATTTCCAGTATTTCAAGTACCATAGGGTATGATACATAGACAGTGCCTGATAAACAATAAAACTTCTTAAGAAATAGCTGCCTCACAGAGAAGGGGAGGCCAGAGAAAAAAAGGCACAGAGGTAGCATTGGTATAATGGATTACAGTACACTGAAAGCCTCTGCTTCTTAAAGAGGTACACAGGGACTGGCCCATGGCTCAGTTGGGAGAGCATGGTGCCAACACCACCAAGGTTAAGGGTTAAGATCCCCTTACCAGCCATCTTAGAAAAACATTTTTTTTAAAGATGTACACAGGGTAATTTCTTGTATCAAAAGGGCAAAATTAGAAAAAAAATTTAACAGTGTCATTGAATTTTCAACCACTATAACCTAAAATAGGCAAAGAATTGGTCAACTGTACACGCAGGCATTTAAAAAAATGCAGTGTAGAAGCAGGAGGCATCTTTCCAGTGACCAACACAGGGCCCTAATCAAAGAACTGAACCAGGTGCCCAGTGGGCACAACTAACGGTGCAGACCAGGGTCTGCAGGGTGCCCCCCTTACCAACCACTCTGTCTAAAGGGAAGTTCCTACATGTTTATGAAATTCTCCTCACTGTGAGCTGGCCACATGTCAAGCAGATGAAGATAACAGGCCACTGGACATGACTTAGTTGGGTTTTCAGTCAATTTTATAACAGTAGAAGATTTCTAGGGCTCGAGAGGGGCAAAGTATATTTTCCATGTGGTAGAAACTTGTGGCCAGAGAGCAAACTGTGGCCTATTAAAGATTGCTGGATATTCTTATTATTCCTCTTATTGAGAGGTGGAATCTAATAGCCTTCCTCTTGAATCAGGGCCAGTCTTAGTGATGTGCTTGACTAAGAGAACGTGGTGGGAAACATGCTTTGGTATCTGAGTGGACATAACAAATAGTCTCTTCCTGGGCCTCTTGGACACTTGCCCTGGAGAAGGCTGACAAACCTGATTACCCTGAGACTGCCAGGCTATGAGAAAGTCCACCTGGACACAAAGAGAGAGCCAGATGTCTGCCAAATGTTCCCAGGCACTAGTGTTCTTCCACATGAGACCAGACACATCATGCAGCAGCCAACCCACACTGCCATTTTACAGTCTTAACCACAACATTCCAAAATAGAGTGAGGAAGAAATTCTTATTCTAAGTAACTAAGTTTTGTGACACTTTGTTACACAGCTGATCACTGGAACACCAAAAAGTCATTAGAGACCATAGACAGTACTTTGAATGCAACAGGAAGCATTTAGGTTCACATTGAAAATTAGGTTCAAAATAAATAAAGCCAGCATTTCACATCTTATGTTACATCTCAAACTCTAATTGAGAATGTCAACTTTCAGTTAACTAGTTTGTCACTTTTCTTTCCTAACCAACTGTTAGCTATGGTTCTAGTGTTTAAACATACTGGTGGCATATTCACAGCCATTTTCTCATTCATTTCTAAGTGATAACTAAAATAGAATAAAATACAACATGAAAGAAAGTTTAAAAACATGACAAGTCTACTTGAACTAGAAACAGTAAGAAAAACTACACATAGAATCACTGACATAAATTTATAGAAGCAAAATTTACAAATTATGAAAACCTGCAATTTCTGTTTTTATTCTTCACATGCCTTTTTATTGGTTCTTCATCAATGTCCCACTAACTCCTGAAGGCTATCTCCCCACAGACTCTTAAGGATGTCACCACAGTTGCTGCTTAGAAGTACATGTCATCAAGGTTGAAACTCATCACCCAGGAAACATGCACTTCAGGTTTTTACAAGAATATTTCCAACAGAACAAAGTTATTGGTTTTATAAGTACCAACATCTTCCCATATACAGGCAGTGTATACAGTAATCAGAATAAAATGAAAAGAACAAGCAAACAAAAGTTACAAGAATGGACACCACAAAGGATTAGACACAAGAAACAGGGCAAAGTCCAGGAAACATCCCATTTCACTGGCTTGGATTATAGTGATAAGACATGTAAGAGAAAAGAAGTAGACGTCATTTTCATTTTTGATTCACTGACCTTAAGGTAACTTTTGAATAGCTACAAAAAGCCATCAACAGCGAGTTCAACGTATGATCCAAGGAAAAGAGGAGAAGTAGTAAAGGGAAGAAGCTAAAGAGAACCAAGAGTGCAAGCTAGAGAAAACTGAATCAGTCAAGAAGAGCATGATGAGAAGAATAGCACCCAGAATGAAGCACTTTGATGAGCTATGTCCAGAAGAAGAAAGGAGAAGAATTCAGAAGAAAAGAAAGAAAACTATCAGTAAGGGAATAAGGGAAACTAACTACCTAAAACAGAAGAATTTCCAGGAGAATATCATGGACAGCAGTTTCAAATGTGGCAGAAGATTCAAGTTAGAAATAAGACTACAGGGGGCCGGCACGGTGGCGCACTGGATAGTGCGCCGCTTGGGAAGCGCGGCGGCGCTCCCGCCCGAGGGTTCGGATCCCACATACAGACCGGTTCCCGCTCACTGGCTGAGCGAGGCGCGGGAGCAACACTGAGGGTTGCGATCCCGTTGCCGGTCCCCGGTCCGGTGCGGGGGCGACACTGAGGGTTGTGATCCGTTGCCGGACACGGAAAAAAGACAAAAGACAAAAAAAAAGAAAAAAGACTACAGAATAGGCACTGGATTTCACTGTAATTTAAGTGATAATTCCACATTTTATTCACGAATCAAGTACAATCTTCCAAACCTGTACACAAACCAAAGAACATGTGAGGAAAGCCATACTGAATCAACAGCCTCAATCACGACACCAGGTCACTAAAGCTGTCTTTGCCATCCAGGTAAAGCTAATATGAGAACTGCCCAGCTGAATACACCCAACATGTCGATCTACAGAACTTCAAGAAAATAAAATGGCCTGATATTTTAAACCATTGCATTTTGATTTGTTCTTACACAGCAAAGGCTAAATGATACATGTAAACCCCCAGAACTCAGTATATTTTAACAAAATTATGTGGGTGAGCAAGTCTTAAATTACATCAAAGCTTACAGTCTGCTTACTCAGCAACATGTGCCTTAGCACTCGCTAACCATTGCTAATAACACATAACTCGCTAATCCACTGTGGAAAGCTATGTGTTTATTTCCAGGTTGGCTGCCAAAAACTTTTTAATAGAGATGGTATTTCAGAATTTAGTGCCAATAAACCCCCATATCCCATGAGAATTTGGCTTATTCTCTTCTCAGGTTTCATTCCAATCATGGAAAAATAAGTGTCTGCCTTTTTGACGTGACAGCAGAGAGACCAGGGACAAGTTTTTACTCAACTTACATGATTCTGAAGTCTTATATTTTGCTATATGTACATGCAAACTTTACCTTACATATGTACATTTCCTTCAAGCTGAGGTTTCTACTTTTCCATTTTAATTCATGCTCCTCTTCATACCCAGGTAACACGGTGAAAAAAATGAGGAATAAATAAAGAAACAACTCACTGGAGATTTATCCATCTTCTCTTGCTCTTGGAAATGCATAGTGCAGTCTGGCAGCTTAGCTGGGAGAGGAGGGAATGGAGTGGAATAAGGAGAGAACTGTTGTGGCTTGACCCTGGATTCTCCTGCACCAAACTCTCTAGGCATTAGCTGGAAAAAATTAACAACAAAAAAGAAAGCCTCCCAGTGAGACAACAATCCTTTATAGTCAATAAGGTGCGACAAAGACCCATTAAACATACATCTGCAAGTACATTAATTGGTACACATTAGACACACAATTTATTTTGGGGTTAATGAAAACATACATTACCTATTGATTTAGCAAGAATCATTGTTACCTAAACATATAACTTAATCATTTAAACCAAAGAAAAACACATTGTGTCACTACTAAAACTAACGTTATGGGAATATACACAGGCTATATAAACAATTTTCACATTAATATAATGACTCCACACACGACTCTAGATAAGTGTTTCCACAACAACACATCTTATTTCTATGTACCTAAATATCTGTAAAATACACATCTTGCAACCCAACATCTTTTGCCCATGATTATATAGGTAAAAAATGTACATTATGTATATTTCTTTTAGTACACTATTCCAGCAATGTTAGCCAGTGATGGATTTCCCTGCACCCAAACCTTCATGTAGTATACTTTGACAATGAACTGGGCTTTGCTATGTGACTTGCTTTGGCCAAGGGCACATTAGCAAATGTCATACAAACAGAAGTTTCACAGGTACTGGCCACCCTGTTTGCCTTCTTAAATACAATCATAGTGTGAGGAAGCCTAGGGCTACACTTTTGGAGACACAGGGCCCAGCCAAGAGTCAGCACAAACCACAAGATATGTTAGTGAAGCCACCTTGAACCAACCAGCTTCAGTCAAGCCACCAGGTGACTAAAGCCGGACTGCCATACTAAACACACCCAAAATGTGGATTCTTAGAACTTCAAGAAAATAAAATCACTGGGTATTTTAAGCCATTTGGGTTTTGATTTATTCCTTATATGGCAAATGCCAAATGATACATCTACACCCCTAGAGCTCATTGTGGTTTGAATAAAATTATGTGGTAGAGAATGCCTTAAATTACATGTCAAATACAATCTATATACTTTCACAACCACAGGGAGAAGTTTTGAAAATTACAGTGAATGTCAACTAAGAGGACTTCACTGAGGTTCCAGGCCATGTGAACCACAAAATGCAATTGTTTTCACATTAGTAAACTATGGTGTAAGATTTTCTGGTTTTTGTTTTCTTTTGATTTAATATCACGGAGAAGTTGTTTACTTTAAAAACGTAAAAAGGATTTGTTTCTTATAAGTAAGTAGTGACCTGTACCAGGGTACTTTCAAATTTTGTGGAAAAATATAATTGAAAGAAAAAAGAGATCTCACCCTGAAGTTTTTGAGACACATAAGTATTCTCATTTTTCCCATTTAAGTAATATGAAATTGGCTCCTACATATATATTGAGAAAATTTGTGATTTCCAACAAGAGTACTGATATTAAGGTAAGTACTTATGTTATTCACTCTGTGTGGTGACGTAATCCACAGAAACCACTGGAGATCAAAAAAGGACAGAGATGTTTAAGGCAACCTATGTTAAAGCATACATTGTTCTAAGTTGACTTCAGCGTTACAAAAGTAATCTCAAAAGCGAACAAACAGTCGTTCTGATATAAGTGTGGCAAAATAGAGAACAAAAGGCAAAAAGTCAGGATTTCTAACATCAACAAAACATGTGATCCCGGGCAACTCACATTTCCTCATATCCAATTATTTTCATTTTTCTTCCAAGATAGAAATACCTGGTAAAATATTCCTGAAAAATAAACTATGAAGATATAACACCATCAGCATATGTCTAGATGCCAAAATTGGTGATAGGCTACGTTTAAGAGAGCTCAGACACTGGGAACCATGAGGGAAAATTTCTGAATGGGAGTGTGTTCAGAGAGCACTGCAGACAGATCCTCTCAGCTGTGACAGGTTATTCCCACACCACGAGAACACTTTCAACACCCTTCCATAAGCAACATTTCCTAGGTCCATGCCTATTCTTCTCAAACTCACTCTTCCATTTGAAAGTTGGCCCAAACCTTCCAATATCACGCAGTCTCAGGTAGCTAATGAATGAGATATTTTCGGCCAACTCTTGCGCACTGTAAACACAGACTGAATAACTGCGTGGGCTGTGAAAGCTACGTCTTTCTGGGACTCCTCTGCCTCTGCTCTGAAGCAGTCCTGAGAGGGTTCAGGCCACAGTGATGTTCTCCCAGGTGGGATTCTTATTCACAGGACGACCTCCTTCAAACTCTTTCACAGCTCCTGTATCCCAAAGAAAACCAGAATATCATCCCATGCTGCAAGGTCCCTCCTAGAAGTCACTGTCCCTGAAAACTTGGTCTCACATCAACGTCTGTAAAGTCAGACTAGAAGTACTAGGCAGGCCTCACAGTGCAGGAGGGGCCAGAAACTTGACCTCCTGAAGAGACACCGAGAAACCCCACAATACAGCTGCCACAGAGGAACACTCCGTCTGCACACACCTCAGAGCTATTTTTCTGGGAATTTGCGGACATTATACTAACGTCAACACGCTCATGTCACAGATGGGTAAAGTGAATGTCCCCATACGTCGGTACCAGGAACCCTGATGGCGGAGCTGGAATGTGGCCTCCCGCACACCTCCCAGGCTCACTGTCTTCACACACCCCCACCCACGTTCCCGTGGCCACACATCTGGCAACCCCACATCTTTTGCCCATGACCAGGAGAGCTAGGCCGGCTGCACAGGGCAGGAGGGACGAGAAACTGGACCTCAAGGAGAGACACTGAGACACCCCACAACACAACGGCCACAGAGTGACAGTCTGCACACACCTCACAATCCCAGATTCACCTCTGGGATCTGGAGCATCACACTAATGTCCACACGCTCACGGTACAGATGGTGAAGTGAACGTCCCATAGGTCGGTAACCGGTTCCTGATGGCGGCGCTGGAACGTGACCTCCCCACACCTCCCAGGCTCGCTGTCTTCACACACCCCCACCCACGTTCATGTCGCTATCTGGGACCTGAGCCCCCGTCCTGGGACATCTGGAACCGGCTTCTGCACACCGGTAGCACCCGCCCCCCTTCCGGCAGCGCCGTCCTCTGACGGAACCGTCTGGAAAGCGCAGCCCGGGCGCCCCTTCCCCGGCCCGGCCCAGGTCCGCGCTCGCGCCGCACGTCAGGCCCCGCCCGCCCGAGGCCCGCGGCGCTTCTGCCCAACAAGTGCCGGGACACCCGTCACGCCCCCCAGGAACCCCGAGGCCCACGGGTCTTCACTTGCACCCTCGCACCCACCTTCAGGGACGCAGAATCCAACCCCAGAATCTGAGAAAAAGGGTGGGGAATCCGGCAGACTCCGGAATCTCCACACAAAAGACAGCGGAGTGCGCGGAGTGGCACATGCGCAGTAGAAACCCGGAAAATCCTATAGTCCTGTGAGGGTGACGTCATTGCAAAGGAAAACTACATTTCCCAGCTAGCGCAGTGAGCGAGGAAGCGCATGCGTAGAAGAAATACAAGAAAAGACCTTTCTCTATAGTCCCGAGCCTGTGACGTTAATTGGTCAGTGAAACAACATTTCCCAGAAGACTCTGGGGCCCTACATTAGTTAATAAAGGAGAAAGTTTTTAAAATTTTCCCTGCACGGAGTACTGTTACCGGGAGATCAAACCTTGTTGGATCAAGACTGGACTGTACCCACAAAATTGACTAGTCTCCATTCCACAGATGTGGAATTCTGATTTTTTATTAGATGTTGGTTTGACCACCTGAGACATTGTGGCAATAATGGGGAAATTCAAATGGCGGCCAGGTATAGGTGTTATAGAACACACGTCTATTTTTTAACGTGCATTTTAAAGCATGAAAAATCATATTTCTATTTTATTTTAAATGTGTTAACAAAAAATTGACATGGTAATTTTCTTTAAAATATTAAGAGATATTTGTTCTCATCCAGGAAACTAAACTCTGAGTCTCAACGCACTGTATTACACAGGTAGAAAAACTGCTCTAGTGTATGGTTAAATAAAATAGCGGGGTCATACGGTAGATCCATTTCTTAATCCTCGTGCCAATTCAAATTTGCAGTGTCTGATATTTAATTCCTCAGAAACTCCCATGTTCTTTTAGCCCATCTGTCCCTTTATTAAATCAAACCTTAGTAATTTGGGGTGTGTGTGTGTGTGGTGGACATAAACTTTGCCTTCTCTGGTTTCTGCAGCAAAACAGGTAAGGAGATCTTTATATGGGTTTATCAAAGTTTCTTCTATGTTGAAGTTCCTCTTAAAACAGGGAATATGGCTGGTTGCTTAGCTCACTTGGGAGAATGTGGTGCTGATAACACAAACATCAAGAATTCAGATCCCATTACTGGCCAGACACCAAACAAACAAAAACCATAAAAATGCAAAAATTCCTAGCTTGAGTAATCAGAGTTGACATGTGCTTGAGTGTTAGAATGTGGAGCACAGTAAAAGAAGATCGAACATTGGCAGTGTGTGGATGGGATCTATGAGAGGCTGCGTCATCCCTACAACCTTTCTCTTTTCCTAATGTATTTCCTGCCTTGTTCAAATTCCCGTGTTTTCTTCAATTCTTCAACTTTCCCTCAGTGATTCTAATTGCAGCTGCAGGGAACTCATCCTGGATCTTCCCACAGCCTTCTTGCCTCAGACTATAGAATCTATAGACCCCCATCCTAACACTCCCTAATCCCATCTCTCTCTCTTAAAAACATATTGGTATGGTATGTGGGAATCCTTTAAACACAGGATTATTGGCAGGGATTGGGTGGTGGGAGTAGCTGCCTGATCCTTCACACTCTGGATACAGTTTGTCACTCCCTCTCTTTGTATATCTGCCTCCTGTCCATAAAAATGATGACAGTAATACACATTTGGATGTGTAGACCTCACCCTGAGCCAACTTCTATTAACATAAAGGCCAATAATGCAATTCTTTTTTCCCCCTATGAAGGTAAAGTTCTCCCCTCCATGGAGAGGAGGCTCAGGGATGATACCTGTTTCCACACTAACCATATATTGTGGCTTTATGTGTTCAAGTACACACTTCTATTGTTAAACTTATTTCTAAGGATTTTATTTT